CTCATACCCTTTGACCTGATGACTATATTTCTGGGAATTTATCAGAAAGTTTATCAAGAAGTTATCAAAGATGTGCAAAAAAACTTAGGTATAAAATACACTATTTATAATAGGCAAAAAAACTCAAGATGTCCCACAATCTTGGGAATTATAGGGACCTACAGTATGATATTATGTAGCTATTAACAGTGTTTCTAATTATGCAAAAGCTTCATCAATTCTGTCAAAATTTGAATAGAGGCTATCATTAGTTGGTGACATTATGGATGATTTCTACTTTTAAAAACATTTTTCCAGAGGCCCGCGCCGTGGCATAGTGATTAAGTTCAGCGCCCTCTCCCTTGGCGGCTCGGATGCGTGGGTTTAGATCCAAGGCGTGGACCTACACCACTTGTCAGCCATGCTGTGTTGGCAACCCACATACAAAATAGAGGAAGATTAGTGCAGGCATTAGCTTATGGCTAATCTTCCTCAAGCAAAAAAAGAGGAAGATTGGCAACAGATGTTAGCTCAGGGTCAATCTTCCTCAGCCAAAAAAGAAAATAATATTTTTCTATATTTTTTTTACTTTTGCATAGCAATAGGAGGTTTAGCTCAAAATAAGGAATTGCAGGCTTCATAAATTCCAGGCTTCATGAATTGCTTTCAGGGAGGCAACTTTGGGGCCCTGAAAACTGAATCACACACATGCATTGCCAGCCTACCTTTAATTTTTCAACCCACATAAATAATAATAAAATAACAATTTACCCTCTTCTAAGGCCGTACTGTATGTTAAGCACTTTACATGCTTAATCTCATTTAATCCTCACAATACCTCTTCAAAGAAGGTATTAGTAACAATATTCCCATTTTAGAGATGGAAGAACTGAGCCTCTGAGAGGTGAATTAACTGGCTCAAGGCCTTATGTCTCATTTCAGTGTTTTCTTGAAGATCTTCCTATTCACTCTATGCCCCTGTATTTAGTCCAGCTCATCAATGTATATACTGATCTCTGAGCTAAAGACCACAAATCCACAGACCTGTTACCTCTCTGGAAAAATTTTTTTTTCCAAAGTAAATACATCAGGGACCTGGAGGCAGGCTTTCCTGAGAGTACTTCCCCCTTCCTTCTCCTGCTGGCCTTTAACTTTTGCCCCTGGGCCACAACCAGCTTTCTCACAGGGCAGCAGTGGCTCATTGGTGCCTTCTCCTCCAAGATCAGGGGTCAGTCTCTGCAACTACTCTCAGCCCCTGAGAGAGCCAGCAGACAGGAGGGCATCCTCTCTCCCTCTGGCTCCTTCCTGCCTAGTCCCAGGCTCTCCACTCGTCAAGCCCTTTAACACTCTTCAGCTCCCCTTTCTTGTTCCATCTCTTCCCACCTTTTCCTCTTTTCTCCTCCAGTTTATTCCTCTGGTCTCCCTCTCTGCCTCCATGTCTTTATCTTTGTTGTCATCGCTAAAAGCAAATACCAAATTATCGCATTTGAAAGAAGATTCTTTTTAAGGCAGTGGTTCCAAGATCTGTTCATTTATATGCAACCCATTAATGGATACTATTCCTCACAATTCCCTTTTCCTAAGTCTCTTTGGTGATTTTAGGGCCCATTTTGTTTTATACATTGATCTTGACCAAACTTAAGGTAGTGAGTGGGTGGGTGCTGATGGCAGCATGGACTGAAAGTCTGCACTGGGGAAGAAGCAGAGAGAAGGCTTCAGGTGCAAATGACTAGAGCCTTCCAAGATGGCAAGAGCTGTTGGGAGGACTGGGGAGACAGTGTCTAGAGAACCCATAGTTATCTGCTATCCATTCATCTCCTAGGTTGAAGCTCCTGACGGACTCCAGGATACCAGTCATCTTGCTGCCCCAGAGGGGTTGGAGATGGCCAGTTTTCCCAAACTCCTGCCTCCCCACATGTCTGCTCACCCTCATTCTCCTCCAGCTGCCCACACTGGATTCGTGTAGGTCTCCCCTCTCTGTCTCTCTCTCTCTGGACGGCAGGGTGGAAATTTCTCAGTAAATGTAAACAATCCATTTGGTTCTCCACTGGGGTCCAGATGGACTCCCTCAGGCTGTTCTAGAAATAAGAGAAATAGTGAGAGAGATTCTGTCCATTGGCAGGAGCCTTGTCTGTTTCAGTCCTCAACTCCTATCTCCACACCCTGTCTGATCCTCCTGGTTTTGCGGCAGCTCATTTTGACATGATTGGACCTCTGGACCCCATCTTGGCCACAGTGGAGGAAGACGCTGAGCTGCCCAGTCACCTCTCTCCAAACATTAAGAGATACAAAGTATGCCCAGAAACTCCTTATCTGAAGTTCAGCATCTAGGTTGGAAATCAAGGCTGCTTTTCTGTGTCAAAGTAACTTGGATTCTTCAGACAAGAATGGAATGGTTCATTTTTACTGATATGATTTCCACCAACAAAGCTTTTGAGAGATTGTGAATTTTTAAAAGGAAGTTTCTCAGTGAGTAAGAAAGTAAGAAGCACTCAGAGAAGGGGGTTGTTTTGCCCCTTTGCAGCTGCAGCATAACCTGGGGAGAAATATTCTGTCTGTTTACTATGCAGTTGGCTTTGTCAAATATGTTTGTTACACCAGCCTGATGACTGGCAGGGCAGATTGTTACATTCTGAGCTAATTTTTACTTTCTCACCCCTCTGTAATGTAATGCACACTCTCCTATTTTCTTTGCTTTCTGAACTGAACTCCATGCCTCTCCTCAGTTTCCTTCACAAGGGATTCTATCCCTGCTCTTCTTCAAGTGATTTGTGTGGCCCTACATCCTACTGGTCCTCCAGAACATCGACTCTCTCTTGTGGTATCAGCAGAGAAGAGAGCACTTCTCTCAGCAGATGCCAGGGAATGGACAGAAGGGCCCTGAGGCAGTGCTTGTCCCTGTCTCAAGCTGTTCCTGAGAGGCAGTCCTGGAGCCTCCTGCTGACACAGCCTCCTGGAGGTAGCCTGACTCTTACTAGGAGTGGCCAGGACCTGGGACCAGACTGTCAGTATCTTTGCGGATGATGAGGCATTTAGGAGCTAGAGATCCCCAGACAAAAATATCCCACTGATTATTTTAGAACATATAATTGAAATGTACTACAACATTTGTGTTTCAAACACAGCATTGGTGCCTCAAGTAGTTCAGAACTGTGTGCTTCTATTTGGCAGGTGTGTTGAGGTACCCAAGGGAAAGTGCATTAATGTTTGCAACTTTCTTAAAAAGGCACCAGGGGCTGGCTGACAGCCTAGTGGTTAAGTTTCGTGTGCTCCAGTTTGGCAGCCTGCATTTAGTTCTCGGGAACGGACCTATACCATTCATCAGCAGCCGTGCTGTGGCAGTGACCTACAAACAAAATAGAGGTAGAGTGGCAGAGATGTTAACTCAGGGCAAAACTTCCTCAGCAAAAAATAAACAAATAAATAAAAAATAGGCACCAAATAAATAAATAAATAAATAAATAAATAAGGATGGATAGGAGGATGAACAGAAGAATAAGGATACATTACAAGAAATTGAAAATATTAAATGTTACTGTAGAATTGAGATAGTAGGTATATTTGATGTTCATTGAAAAAGTCTTTTAACTTTGTTCTATGTTTGAAAAGTTTCATGATAAACCAATGATAGTCGGGAGTGGGGAGGGAAGAATTGTATTTTGCTGCTGATAACAGAGACCAGAAGTACCACTGGCTTCAACAAAACAAATGTTTGTTTTCCTTTCATGTAAAATGAATTCAGAGAGCGGCAATCCAGAGCTGGTCTGGCAGCTCAGAGATGCATCCGTGACCCAGCCTCTTTCTGTCTTTATTCTCTGCCGTCTCAACTCTCAACATTGTCTCATGGGCATGAGATGGTCCCTGCACTCTAGCTCCAAGGACCATGTTCTAGGCAAAGGAAGGAGGAAGTAGGAAGCGTATGGACCTCTCTTGAGAAACGACCCAACAACTTCCACTTACATATTATTAGCTCAACCTTAGTCCTTTGGTCTCTCCTATCTTTAATGGGAATGAGCACATTGCAGGACCCTCCCAAATTGGGTTTGATTCCTAAGAAAAAGCAGAGAATAGATATTGCACAAGCAACTAGCCATGTCTACCACAAAGCCTAAATTCTGATTATATTCTGACTGTAATCAAATTCCATCAGCCAAAGTCACATCAAAGTCCTAGGAGCAAAAAAAAAAAAAAAAAGCCCTAGGAGCTTTAATCAGGGACTCGAGATGCAAATAAAGTGTCTTGGGAGGCCCTAGGCCACAGGTAGGACCACTTTGTCCCAAAGACACCTTATAGAAACAGCATTCACAGCCTATGCAGAGTCTAAGCTCGGAGAATACAGAATCCTGCAGGCAGAGTAGAAACAAATACACATGAGAACACAAATGTAGCACAAATAAGGCACAGAGGGTGAAGGAACCTGCTCTGCAACACTCCAAATAAGAATGTTCTGAAAAATGTAAGATGTGCCCACCAGTCACTGGCAGCACTGCCTCTGGAAACCTGAAAATTATATGATGTGGTCGTGGATCTGAGACCTGAGTTTCAGAGGTGCTGAAAAGGTGGAGTGGATCTGGTTTTCCTTCCGTTCACACTTTCGTTTGTCTCTGCTGTAAAAGATGTCCTCCTCCGTGTGCCCACCTACATTCACACGGATGTCAGAAAATGGCCACAGAAACATTTTAATTACTGCACATCTTCCTCTCTTAACACATTAAAATCTAGTAATTTTTCTCCTTTGTTCGACTGATAAATCTATTATGATACAAAAGGCGTAAAACAGGTGTATCTAATGAAATACTGATGATACAGAAACATACACATGAATGATTCAAATAGGTAAACACAGAGAAACACAGTGTGGGAATTAGGGCTGGAATGTTTCCTCATTTTGTGCAATCCAATACAGTTTCAGTTTTCATTCTAAACTTCCCCACTTGTGTCTGACCAAAACTGATAAGAAACACTCCTTTGAGCCAATCAGAAAACTAATTCTTCCAAAGAGGGACTCTGTTACTGTTGCTCACAGTGAGCAGCCTTTCTTTCTTTTCCCTTTCTTCCAGAGCAGACTGTTAACTATAATGGAGAACCATTGATTACCTTCATTGTGTGGGCTGTGATTTTCAGATGGGAATGCCAAGGGGTAAGTGGGGGAAATCGTAAAAGTCAGGGCCACAGGTCCTGGACGGAAAGAGAGCCTAAAAGGCCTAGAGTGGGTACAGGGAAGTCCTCACCCAGAGAAAGGGGTTTGGTGCTTGTGTGTGGTGAGGAGATGGGGGTAGGGGTAGGAGGCAGTGCAAAAGGGAAGGACCTGCATTGGGAAATTTGGTGGGAGGGAGACAACCTGAATGAAAAAACTTGCCAACTGCATGTTCTTAGGAACGTACTGTGGTCAGAAAGGAGCAAAGGACTCTTATAATATCTTTGGTCATCTCTGGGAATGTATTCTAAGAGATTCTAAAAAGAGATGTGCTTTAAACATTTATAGGTGATTATGTTTGTTACAGAATTATTTGTAGTTTAGAAAAATCTGAACCAGACTCCATATGTAACATACACATACATGTGCAGCATTTGGAGGACTGATAAACAACACATTGTCCAGTCATAAAGGGATTTCCATACAGTCATTAGGAAGCATGTTTTTAATAAACAAAATTGGATTCACCTTGGATACCTAAATTGTATCTGCATTTTACTATTGTCAATTTTACTATGATGAACAGCTTTAAGCAGAAATCTTTGTGTTAACGTTTGATTTTTTTTCTTTAAGAGTAATTCCTAAAACTGGATTTCTAGGTCAAAGGATGAAATATTTCTAAAGCATTTGGTGTATATGTATACTGCCAAAGTACTTCCAGAAATATTTACATTTCCATGAAGCTAAGTATATGATTACCATTACAGATTTTTAATTTTATCTCTTTATATTTTTCTCTATATTAAAATTGTCTATAATCAGGAACAAATAATAATAAATATCCAAAAAAATGGATAAAAACATTCTCTACTATAAGGACAGCAGAGGAATTGTGCCTATAATAATAATAATAATAATACTGTCCTCTCTCTAGCAGCATAGAGAACAGTTTGAAGAGGAGAGGATGGACTGAAAGGCAGTATTCTGTCTGAGGGTGAGTCCAGGTTTCAGACAAAGGTCTGAAGGAGAGCCAGCTTCACAGACATCTGCTCCCTTGTCCCCCGGCAGTTCCCGGACTTCCAGGTCCTATGACTGGGGGCCTCATGCTGGTTTGTTTTGGAGTTGGTATTTTCTGAACAACTAATATGTTGCAGTCACGATAATTACTTGAAACAATTTTTAATTCTTAAATTTTAGATGAAGACTTCTAAAATTTAAAACATTCAAATAATTTTCAAGGAGTAGGGGGCAAAGGACAAAAATATCTTTAATTCAATCCCCAGTTCTCAGTGTAGCATGTATACTTTTAGACCTGTTTTAAGGCAATGACATAAACATGTATCTACAAATTTATAGCTTTGCTTTTATTTTTTAGTAGAATCATTAGTATTGTTCTGCAACGTGCTTTTTGTTCACTTAATATACCTTGATTATCTGGATTAGTGATTGTAAACTAATCTTAACTCTGGCATTGAATTCCTTTATAGGGATGAGCCATTATTTAGCTAACCAGTGTCCTATGGGTGGCCGGTTAGGTTGTTGACCACTTTTTTACTTTTATAAATAATGCTGCAGTGTCATCCTTACACGTTTCTCTCTGGACCCATGCATGTGCTTTGCTGGACCAGATATCTGGAAGTGGAATTTCTGGGGTAATTCTGCACATTGTAAAGTTTATATTTCACATTGTTTCATGAGTGACTTGAGTTCAAACAGGTTTTTTCACATGACTGAGATCACACACCTTGTCAATCATAGTGCCATCACCCAATTTCCACCTCCTCTTTGTTCCCACATTTAACACATAGTGGGCCTGGCACATAGTGTGTGCTCAGTAAATATTTGTTGAATGAATGAATGAAATGATGGGTGAGACCTGGTCTTATTCCCAGCTCTCCCATTCACTAGCTTTGTGATTTAGAAGTGGTGGGTTCAGCCTCTATCTAACTCTAGTCTCCACCAGGGAGTCTGCCGTGATCTTAACCAGAGTCTAATGGGGGCGTGATTTGAACTTGGTGATGGTCATGTGTTTTGTCTTAGAGGAGTCTGCTGTTGCTCCCATACGGGCACATACTCAAGTCATTTGTTAGCACCCCATCCCACTTGACTTCTTCAGGATAGGAGAGGATACATGATGGGAGAGCCCAAGGAATAAGGGAGGGAGTTAGAGCCAGAATTCTTAGTCGTGTCTCTGAGTAATGCACCTAGGCCTGCTCTCAGGCTCCCCACTATCTATGGCTGCAGCCAACTCTGGGGTGGTTAGGATGGAAGCCAAACTAGTATGCCAGCTAGTATTAATCCTTTCTTTTGGCGAGGGCCCCACACTTCCATCATCACAAAGGTTCACAGTGATGCCACAAACCACCCCTAAAAGATGGTGGAGATGCTTTTCTGAGCCAAGACAATTGAGAGCTCTGGGCTGAGAGGGTGAGGTTGCAGGGTCCCTGCCTCTGAGCTGGGAGAACCTCAGCATTTCACAGAGGCATGAGCTTTGATGGGCTGCTTTGTGCTCCTAGTTTGACATATTTGCCCCTTCTTTGCAAGTGCCAGCTCTTACATCTCTGCCTCGAAAAAGCACTTCCCTAGCAGTGGAAAGAATAAGACCAGGAACTTATCCATTGCCGGTGAGCCCAGAGCCCATCTGCCAAGGAGCACTGGTGAACACTCGAGGAAAGGGAAGACAAGAAATGAATAATTTACTTCCCAAATAAGTTTCTCCCCCAAAGAACAATTGTGAAAAGTGTTCACTGAGGCACACTGAGTTGAAACACTCTTACATGCATATCCAGGACATGCTTGCTCCTTGAAACCACTTCAATGAAAAATAGGAATACATACATTACATAGGCAAGTCCCAGTGGGAGCACAAGAGGATAGGCTCTGCTCCCTAAGCAAGACCAAAAGAGTATCTCATTAGGGAAGCATCTGCTTGTGTTCACAACACTTCACCTCCCCTCCGTGGAGGAACTGACTTTCCTCAAGTCTAGAGGAAAGACTTGAAGGAGGTGAGGGAGTGGCCTTTTGGATATCTGGGGGAACGGGGTTCCAGATAGAAGAGCCAAGTCCTCTGTCCTAGTCTATCCAAGGACCAGCTAGAAGGGCAGTGTGCCTGGATCAGACAAGGAGAGTAGAGGAAATGAAGTGAGAGGTGTGGGTCCTGGAGGCAATGTTGGCCATTGTGAGGACTTCAGCATCTACTCTGAGTGAAATGGGAGCAATTGAAAGATGTTGAGCAGAGGAGTGACATGTTATGGTTCAAGGAAACCTCTGGCTTTTGTGGTGAGCATAGACAGTAGGGGACACAATCAGATTCAGGGGACTGAGAGAGGAGGGTCCTGAATTATTCAGAGTGTGATGGTGGAGGCTATTACCTGGCTGTAGCAGGGGAAGTGTGGGAAAGTGGAAGGATTCTGAACATATTTAGACAGTAGAGCCAAGGATTTTCTGATAGGTTAGAGTTAATGTACGCACATTTAACACTACATACATAAGATTTATATGTTAAATGTATGTACATTTAACATAACATATTTTTATGGGTGATTTTCCATGTTGGAACTCAAAGTTAAGAGATTCAAGCAGACATTTTGGCAGAAGAGGATCCTGAGTCACCACACTAGTGACTGTGTGTTTCACCCTGAGTCGGCCCTGGGGAAGAGGAGGTTTGATATGGAATTTGTCATCTTCTTCCGGGACAAGGTCACAGCTTCTGCCTGACTCTTTCTTGCATCTCTCTGCAGCACAGATGAAAATGGCAAGTTCCCTAGACTTCCCTCTGCTCAACCTCCTTGTCTGCCTTGTCTTGGTCCAGCTGCTTACCCCTTGCTCAGATAGGAAACATTCTGCTTTTATGGATCTGAAGCAGACCATTACCTATTAGTGTCCGGTCAGAACCTCTAGTGACTACTCAGTCCTGGAAGTCCCATCCCAAGCTGAAGGTGCACATGACATTACGACAGATTGTACTTCTGTTAGGATCATGTTCTTATCTAGGTTTTTTGTACCTGACTCTCCCTGCCTGAGACTCCCCTCCCTTCTTACCCTCATGGCCCCAACTCTCTCTGATGGAGCTTCTTCTTTTACCTATAAGCTCAGTTTTCTGTGTTTGGACTCCCTGGGCCCATTCTGGCCAGGGTGGGTGAAGACGCTGATCTGCCCTGTCATCTGTTCCTGAAGATGAGTGCGGAGACCGTGGAGCTGATGTGGGTGAGATCCAGACTTAGGGAGGTAGTATATATGTATGCAAATTGGAAGGAAGTAGAAAACCAACAGATGGCCGAGTATTGAGGGAGAACATCCAGTTTAAGAGATGGCATCACTGAAGGGAAGGCTATTCTCTGTATTTACAGCATCAGAGCCTCTTGAGAGTGGAATCTACATGTGTTATTTCCAATATGGCAACTTCTCTGAAAAAGCCATGGTGGAGCTGAAGGTTGCAGGTGAGCCTCTGGGTTTGATTCTGAGCTCGTTCCTCCATGAGACCTGGGGAGACAGGCAGAGTTCATGCTCCAACTCCACCTCAGAGTACTCTGACTGGTCACTAGGAATAGCCTCCACTGCCTTCCCTCGTTGTTCTCTGAGGCCCTTGGGAAAGAGACTGATTTTCCTCCAGGAAGAATCCCTCCTGTACCCTATAATATCAAGTAAAGAACTCCCTCATGCTGGCAACCAGGGTCTAATCAGGGAAGTGGAATGTTGGGGATAGGAAGGATAAGAAAATATCTCCTCAGTGAAGGCACACAGATGTCTGGCTTCAGCTGTGTTCCAGATCACTCTGTGGGCCCTCCGGGTACGTGCTGGTGTGGGTCCTGGGAGGCTGACCTGTAGGATAGCATCTGTGCTGCCAACGTTGTCCAGCCCAAAGCCTCCAGGAACACACCTGGAGTTGACCAAGTTGTGTGTATTACTTGTTGCAGAGAGGGAGAATGCACGCCATGTGGGAACTGTGCGGTGTCTCAGAAAGAGGATGTTAGAGAAGACTTGGTGTAGAATTTGGGCTTGTGTTTCGGGAGTTGAGAAGCGTTTATGGAAGTGAAGCTTTGCTCTGGATTGGATGCTGTCAGGAAGGTGGGGGGTGTGATTCTGTGAGTGTCTTAAGAAGTCTAATCTAGGAGGAATATTTGAGTGAGGCTAAAGTTGCAATTGGGAAAAGAGCAACAGTCACTCATAGCCAGGATAGGGAAATATTTGGTCATGACTGTGGTTTGGCAAGGGTTCATATTTTTCTATATGTTCAAACATGATTGTTGAGTGGTCTTGTTTTTGCCTTGACCCATCTTAGTGACAATATGCCCTTGTCTGATGTTGATGTTTCATGAAATTGCTTATGTTCAACAGGAGAACACTGAGACCAGGATGATGCCCAGATGTCAAGGGTTGCCTTTTTCTTTCTAGGGCACTTTCTTGCCCTATTGCTTCTGGCTTGGTTTGGACAATGGGGAACCATAGCAGAAGATGGAAGAAGGGAGAGAAGAGCGAGAGGTCTAAGCTCTTATCCCTCTGGCATTTTCCCTGTAGGACCACCTCCAGCTGGCTGCATTCCCTTCCCGAAGATCGCCGCTCCTCTTAAGAAAGCCCTCTCTACATGACTTTCTTCTTTTAGATCTTCAAAATGGCTTCTTTTCCCTTCCCTTTGAATTTAAGGGTGGGTGGTAACAGCTTGATTATTCCAGGCCCTGGTTATTGTTCTGTCCCATGTGGTTTTCCCCTCACCATGACCACATATTTGTAAACAGCTCCTTAATGAAACCATCTGGAATTATCTAGTGTGAGTGTAATATCCAATTCATGTTGAGACTCACATAGAGGCTCTAAAGAATTCAGGCTTATTTATCTTTCCACAGCCCTGGGTTCTGATCCTCACTTGGAAATGAAGGATTATGAGAGAGGAGGGATCCATCAGGAGTGCGTGTCGACTGGCTGGTATCCTCAGCCCCAAATACAGTGGAGAGAAGACAAGGGAGAGGACATGCCAGCTATGGCAGCACCTTTGGTTGCAGATGGAGATGGCCTGTATGCAGTCACATAATCTGTGATTGTGAAAGGCAGCTGTGGGGAAGGGGTAACCTGTATCATCAGAAATCCCCTCCTCAGGCAGGAAAAGACTGCCAGGATTTCCACTGCAGGTCAGTACCTGCTTAGCCTCAGGTGTACTGGGCTGAGCTGTGGCTGTTGAAAGTAGGAGGATGTGTGATTCTCTGTTGCTGACTCGGGTCTCTGTAGCGAATATAAGGCACAGAACAGGGATCCTGAACCGTCTTCTTACTCTAGGGATTTTTCTTTTCCCCATAACACTGTTTATCTCACAAATATTTACTGAGTATTTCCTGTGTGCCAGAAACTGTGACAGGAAATGGGAATTGGGAAAAATGGTAAAGATCAGACCCTTAAGCAAAGGCAAATGACAAAATGGGGAAAAAATATGTACAACTTGTATCTAAGAGAAAGAGCTAATCTCTCTAAAATATAAAACCGCCCAGTTGAAAAATGAGCAAAGAACATGAATTACTAGTTCACAGAAACACACATAAGATGATGTCCAGTCTCATTCAATAAAGGAAAGTCTATCAAAACATTTTCCACTTCTGAGATTGGCAACAAAACAAAACTGAGGTGGTAGATCACACATTTTGATGACAGGACTGTGGGGAGACAGTCGAACTTAGACATTTGTTGGTATAGTTTGGTATATTTTTGGTATAAAGTTGAACAACTTATATTGGGGGCAATATAGCAGTATTTCTCCAAAGTACTTATTTATTGATCTGAAATTCCACTTCTAAGAGTTCATCTCACAGAAATAGCTGCATTTGTCGGAAATGAGCCAAGTAAAAGGTTACTTCTTTTTTTTTTTTTTTGTGAAGAGGACCAGCCCTGAGCTAACATCCAATGCCAATCCTCCTCTTTTTTGCTGAGGAAGACTGGCCCTGGGCTAACATCCTTGCCCATCTTCCTCTACTTTATATGGGACGCTGCCACAGCACGGCTTGACAAGCGGTGCATTGGTGCGTGCCCGGGATCCGAACCGGCGAACCCCGGGCCGCCGCAGCGGAGCGCGCGCACTTAACCACTTGCACCACGGGGCCGGCCCCAAAAGGTTATTTCTTAAAGCATTAATTATAATAGCAAAAACTTAGAAACTATGCAAATGTCTATCAATGGGGAACTTTTACGCAACAGAATATTGGACAGCTGGAAAAGAAAACACAGACACTGTCTTTGCCCTACTATGGCATCTCCAAGATGAAGAGAAAAAGCCAGATGCAGAGCAGTTTATATATTTTTAAAATTTAATACACACTTGCATAGCACTCAGTATGTGTCAGGCTCTTTATAAGCATTAATTAAATCGTTTAACCTTATGAGTGATGTACTATTATTACCCCATGTTCCAGATTAGGACGCCAGGAAGAGAGTAGAGAAGTAGTTGGTTCAAGATCACACTGCCAGTCAAGTGGAAGAGCCTGAATTTGAACACAGGCCCTCCAGCTCCAAAGTCATATTCTTTTTTTTTTTTTCCTCTTGATGAGGAAGATTCGCCCTGAGCTAACATCTTTGTCCATCTTCCTCTATGTTTTGTATGCGAGATGCCTGCCAAAGCATGGCTTGATGAGCAGTGCGCCGGTCTGCACTCAGGACTTGAACCTACGAACCGCAGGCCGCCAAAGTGGAGCGCACGAGTTTAACCACTACGCCACCGGGCGACGCCTTAAGGTTCGTATTCTTAAACACCATATTAAGCTGGCTAATGAGAGGCTAAGAAATGGGGGGGAGGGAGGAGAGAGCGAATGGGAGACTTGGAGGACTTTTTCTATTTTTTTGATATTTGCACCATGGAAATGTAACCTACTGAAAGATTAAATTAGAAAAACATATGATTCTGATGCTCAAGTCAGTCGTATTCAGATGTGAGAATCAGACTGTTCAAGACAAGTAATAGTGTTATGGTATAGCAAGAGTTTACCGAAGTCTTACCCAAAGTTTGTTGAGACTTTAGAAGGAAAAGGATCATTTAATATCATGAGATCAACTCTGTGATCCCCTTCCTGGGGGCTAAAGCTCCCTTCCATTGCAGACCCCTTCTTCTCCAGTGCCCAGCCCTGTGCGCCTTGCTGCCCCTTCTCTCTCTAGTATGCTACTGCTTCTGCAGGCCATGCTGGAAGGAGAAAGAGAGAAAGCAAAAAAAAAAAGTATGAAGCACAAGAGGTATCTCATCAGGGAGGGAACCTAAGGTCCTGGCTTATGGGCGGGAGCCTGATGACTTCACCCCCACCCCACCCCACGTGCCCACCCCTGCACTGGGTCATTTGTAAGGTTTATTTTCTGGAGGTACTCCCTTCTCAATTCTAGTAACATTTTTTTTTCCCTTCTTATTTTCCAGGGGTCTGGCTTGAACTCAGTAAGTTCTGATTCCCCAGGGACCCATACACCTCTAGGTATTCCTGCTTTAAGCCTCTTAATGACTCTCCACATTTCTTCCACTGCAGTCAAGAAAGATCCAAGTACATGGCTCCTGAATGACTCTGACACTTTCTCTCTATTCGCATCTGAGACTCTCTGCCGTGATATTCCCCAGGCCCTTTCCTCACCCCTAACTCTACTTTATGAAATCTTATTGGCGGGGATGCAATGGAGATGTGTTAACTGTAAAGGAAGTTTCAACTTTGTTAAAAAATTGTCTTAATGTCAATTTGAACCTAAACAAACACAACCTAAGCAGACTCAGTACAACCAGGTTAACTTCCTTGTAATCAGTCATTGCTGAGTGTTTCCAGTTTACAAGCTAACTGCTGTG